TGTTTATCACAAATGGTAAAAGGTGAATAAAATGTCTACTGCGTAGGGGAATTGTAGCTGTAAACACGTAATAAGAGAAAGAGGAGAAAAGCAGTTAGACAGGATGGTGAAGTTTATCCATCACCAAATAATATATCAAACACTTGACAGAAATTCAGTGCAGGGCAATCCATACTCATCTTCCTCTACACCTTCTAAAGAACGGTGTAACAAATGCATTATTGTAGAAGGCAACTACTTCATAAAACACTGGACTCGTTTGGTAACAAAAAGAGCGCCTGTAGTGGTGTCAAAAGCGTAAAAATCAAACTAGTAAGGACTGGTGAAAGATGATACAGTTTAATGAATCCTGCTTTACTCTTTTTATTTACACATGTTGGAGAAGACAGATTTGGAAAACGCCACAAAAATACCCCCTCTTGTGTAATCCCAAGTGCCTCTTTGTCAGTAACTTTCGACTCTCTGTAGGTAACTCTCTACTCTCTGTTGGTAACGTTCAAATTGGCTCAGTAGTTTGTCTCAATCGGAAGTTTCGAGTTCAACTCACATTCCAATGGGGATTTTTTATAACTTTTCAAAACTACTAACTCATCATGTTTAGAGAAAGATATTACAATATTAGGAAAAGGCATAAATAACATGACACTTCACATTATGGATCTGCGTTATTTGTTATAATTTGCTTATGAACACAGGGTGTTACATTGGTTATAGGGCTCGATTATCACGTAGAAATCTCGAGTTTAAATCCCAGTTGAGTCGGGATTTTATCTGTATTGTATTTATTATCGTGTTTGCAACAAGTTCTTTGAATATTCTAAAAACTACGAATACAATTATAGATTAAATAAGGGATAACATCATGTTTCATAATAAATACGAGTATGTGTGAAAAACAATATAAATATTTTTCAATGCAATATATGACGATAAAATACATTATTATTGATGTTTTTCACCTTTGGTAAGAGATTTTTAAAGACTTAGTCAAAAAACTTGTAAGCATTTACCCTTCACCATAATATCCTTTGCCTTTGCCATCAGAATTAATAAACCGAAGGGTCAGACGTTTGACCATGTAGGAATACTTATTCGCATTGTTCAGTCTATAAGGCTTTATCAAGAAGAACTTTTGAATATAACATAAAAATATAAATAAGTCAACATTCTAATCAAGGTAAACTTTTAGGAGATGACCAAATATGAACAAAAAGTTTGTTTTCGTGAAATACTAGAAAAGGGATATAATAAAGTTAATTTTTGAAACGTGTTCATAAGACATTCATTTAAATTTAATTTTAGAAGAAAAACTGATCATCATTTATGGTCATATGACGGACATTCAGCTAGTTAGACATGGTATCTAAAAATGTGGCCAGCCAATGTATGTTAGCCATGACTATCGATGTATACATTTGTTAGCCATGATGTTTACATTTGCCAGCTATAAAGTATCAACATTTGTATCCGTCTCTTCGGACTAGAATAAAATAGAAAACATTATTTTGTTAATGGTTTATATTATATTGTCAATTTATCCATAAACGTATATTACGAGCTCACAAAGGCAGAAATTAGATATTTTCAACACTTTGGGACAAATGAATATAGCAATATTTGGCTTGATAGAAAACAACCGAGTAAAAGTTGGATACATAGACCGAAACAGAAAATCCTAAGTACAGTTTGAATATGAAAGTTATAAGTGTTTTTAAGAAACTTGTTGCTATATTCAGTCTTCACAGTTGTGTATAATTACTTGCACGAGCGTTTTGAATGTTTACAGCTAAGGTGAAACTATAAAAGTTCCTTCTGCAACGTTTCTGTCAGTATATCGTTCTTTATTTATTCAACGCTTTTATAACTTGGAAACTTTTGGTGTGTATGAATAAAGCACGATAAAGTACAGTTGCAACTTTAGGATTTAAAAATGTATCTTTTGTAGTCTTTAAGAACGGAAACACTCGCCATCTAAGCAATATTAACTAAATAGACTATTTCTACATATGCTAGTGTTCCGTTACCAAAATAAAGATAGAAGAAATCCCGGGTTTGTCACTTTAAGGTACCGAAGAATCTAATGACGTCAATAGATGTTTTGAAACATGTGTCAAATAATATGATTCACCCACGCTTATGACTGCATGGGCGAGAGTGACTTGGAGAAATTCATTTGTATGGAAGTATAATATCACGTAGCTTACATTGGATTTGACAGTATAGATAAATTATACACAACAACTCTATATCCTTTACTGTGCAGGAGTAAAAATGGATTGTTGACTGAGCGATTGTTGACCGAGCGACAATTGTAACGTGTAACATCTTAGGGATTACATGCGGAGCTATTTAAGTAAGGGAGACAAGCAGACAAGTAGATGACAGATTCATTGAACACATGAAGGCCTATAAGAGCTCACGAAAGAAAAGCAGAAGAAAAAAATGCAGATGGTTACAGTGTCCCCTATTTCAGAATATCTAACCACAGTTAGAACATTAAAAAAAAACATATAATAATTTTTAAACCGGAAATATAAAGTTTTCTTGCACAAAAGAGAAAAAAAAACCCAACTTAAATCCCATTTGTCTGCATTAAACATTTTCAGTCTCTGTTAGCTAGTAATGACTTTACAATGATATCAAATTACCATTACAATTTTAATGACCTTCTACAAATTGGTTTTCTTCTACGAATGTCCTCCCATTTTGTATCTGTTATCTGTGATAATGTTATTGGATTTCATGTTGTATAATATTTTTAAACGTATTCGTATTGATCAGTTTAGAAGTAGAAGTCTTTGGTCTCATAAATTAACCAATGAATGGTGCCGCTGTTAAGAAATTAACCAATGAATGAAGCCACTGTTAATGCATACGTTATCGAATATATATATGACTACAAAATAGATTACCATCAAAGACAGGAGAGTTAATCGAACGAAGTAAGAAATGGCTTAGGGGAGAAACTAAAATATCTTACGTTGCAAATAGCCAGTTAAACAAACGTTGTCTTTTAAGAAAGCTGTTGTCATTTAGGAATTATTTGTATGTAGCTTTAAACTCTCGGTTGCATTTATTGTTGTAAAGGCCCGGCATGGCCAGGTG